TCATCATTATCTATAGTATAGTGTATATATACATACTATAGATAATGATGATGATAGAAAGATAGATAGATAGATAGATAGATAGATAGATAGATAGATAGATAGATAGATAATATATATCTCACGTCTCCAGCAGGTACATAATATGCCCTTAACAGTTGTGGAACATGAGGCCAGAATATAAATGCAAGTTTATATAACATACATCTAAATATTTAAAAGTTATAAACCAAGCTAACAGGTATTAAAAAACCTATAGACTAGTCTCCTACTTGGACAAATATACATTCATAATGACTGGAAGGCCAAGTTCAAATTTCTAGGACTTCTTGGTGTTTCTTGCTGGAATGTGGAGGCCAAGGAGAGAGCCAGTCCACAGCATACCCTTCTTTGCTTCTTGTTCTACCTGTAGCACTGTAAGATGCTTCACACCTGTACTTTTGTTTATCATATTTCTATCTTCTTTATTTGTCTCCAGACAGCAAAAAAAATCACCTGCTGGGCCTAGGTTTGTGTCCAACTATGGTATGGTCTTTTCAACATGGAGAAGAGAAGTTTGCAAGCCTCATAAGTGAATTTGGGGCCGCTTAGGTAGGGAACTTAGAATCCAGCACACAGACTAGAAACTGGGGCGTGGCCCTTGATCAGTGTTGACTTCATGCCCCTTAGATAAGTGTGCAGCTGGAGGACACAGGATCAGGACAGAGAATCTCTTGTTTCAGTATAATGATAATTATTTCAGGTGAGAAAATAAGAATAACTTTAAATTTTCATTTAACATGGTAAAAACTGAACTGAAAGCTTGACAACTCTGGCCAAGGAATTACTGATGAATTTGTGCGTGAGAAGTCATTTCAGGGGCCACGGCACCTGGATAGGACTTGAACCATTCACCACTACCTATTTTCCTTTATGCTTCTTAGAACACTGCAATCTTGCTTTTGTAGCAGCCCAACTATCAAAACCAATGGATATTTCTCAGAACCGACTTCACTGGCAATGACAGTTTTTGGTGGCCTACCAAGGAATTAGTCCTTCCTACTTTTTTGCAAGAGAGGGCATGTGATACAGGTTGGCCAATTGACAAATTTTATTCTCTTAGAGTAGTCATGTGATGCAAGCAAAGACAATCAGAATCTTTTTTTCAGAATTTTTATGGATGCTGGGGAGAGAAGTCATGTACCCACTTTCCACCAACATACTGAAATAAAAGATGAGCTTGGAACGGTTGGGAGAGAAAGAAATTGAAAAAGAGAGAGACAAAGACAAAGAGAGACAGAGACAGATAGAAAGAGAGAGAGACAGAGAGACAGACAGAGAAAATAACTCTTGACATGTCTTAAAACCCTTATCCATACTTACCTGGCATGGGAGATATTATGATCACGAAGTTGGTTCTCCCAGGGCGAGGCTTATCCATTGCACTCTGTATGTGCTGATCCCTGCGATCTCTCCAAACATGGGAAACTCAATTGCATAATGTGTGGTAGTGGGGGACTGCGTTTGAGCTCTCCTCTGGATAAAAACAACAACAACAAAAACAAAAACAACAAAAACAAACAAATGAACAAGAAAAACCTTTAATCTATCCACAACTGATCCAGCCCTGGGTTTTCTATAAATGTGAAAAAATAAATAAATTTATCCAGATATTTATTGCTTCAGTGGTTACAATTAGGTTTGTGTTGTTCATAACTGAAAATGTGTTGATGGTCTCATGGTACATAGCACTCCTGAATACTCTCTCTATTTTTTAACTTTCTCTTTCCTAAATTTCCAAGATACATCTCTTCAGTTTTCCCTCCTGCCTTTCTTAGCACTACATTTATTGATTTCTTTATCTATATGTTCCTCAAATGTGGATATATTTCTGCTGTTTCTCATTTCATTCAGGAGACTCTCTCTAGATAAAAACACCAACATCCATTGTCTGCTCCCCTTTTATATTAGTAATGTTCAAGCCAGGCCCCTACATATAGACAACTGATAAAAACTCACTGGATCTTTCTGTGCTTTAGTTTAGGAACTGCTCCCACCACCCACTTACTCAAATTCCTATCTTTTAATCATATACTGCTGTTCCTGATTTAATGGCTTTAGCCTGGCTTCATATCCTGACTCTTGTTTTTCAGTTTCTTTTCTTTGCTCTCTTTCATGACTACAATTCTTGTTAATCCTGGAGGGGATAATCTGATTTGAAAACATTCCCAGCTCATTTCCTGGTATCATCAGATGATACATCTTCCAAGAGAGCAAGAAGGTCTACCATGTAGATCAGTGATTCTCAAATTTTAGCAGGCATCGATATCACTTGGAGAACTTGTTAACATGCAGAATGCCGGGCCCCACTCCTAGAGTTTCAGTAGGTCTGGGGTGAGACCTGAGAATGTGAATTTATGACAAATTCACAGGAAATGCTGCTGTTGTTGTGGGCCATAGGAATAATTCTGATTTAGTCCATATTTGTTTTTTTATTTTCATTACTGCAAACTCTTGGATTATGTGCTTTTTTTTTTTTTTTTTGGCACCCCCTCCGAGTCTCTTATGTTTTTTTTTTTTGAGTGTGGGAGGAGTCTATATATTTTTTCTAAGAAATAGACTATGGAAAAAATGATGGGATGTTACTGCCATAACTGTATTATGATATATAAGACAGACAGATTCTCCAGCTGGTCTTAAAGAAACAAGCAGCCTTTTTTTTTTTTTTTTTAGGTGAGGAAATCCTTGGTTGACCTCACAGATTGTAAGGACCTTGTCAGCTTATAATTCCTTATTTTTTTTATTTTTTATTTTTTTACGCCAATAGCACCTAGTCTTCCTAGGTGGTCTCCCATCTAAGTACTGACCAGGCCCAACCCTGCTTAGCTTCTGAAATCAAATGGGATCAGGCTTGTTCAGTTTGGCATGGCTGTAGACAAGCAACTATATTGTAATTGTTAACTGCCTATACAGAAGCCATGACAGAGATATAAAGGTGGCCTTAAAGACCTGAGGGAAGCCTCTAGCTGATGGTCAGTAAGAAGCTTGGACCTGCATTCATATAACCACAAAGAAATGAATTCTGTCAAAAACCTAAATGACTTGAGAGTGGATTTTTCCCCAGCTGAGAGGCCGGATGAAATCATAGTCTAGCCGTCTTGTTTCTTGAAGCCTTGGAAGCAAGAGACACAGATAAACCATGGCTGGACTCCTGACTCATGGAAACTGTGAGATAATGAAAAATGTGTGTTTTTTAAAGCCACTAAATTTGTGATAATTTGTACTGAATGGAATAACTTCTAAAATTATTATACCCAGCACCAACCTCTCCAAAGCTCCCATTAGTATAACATATCAGGCTTTTTATGAAAGGTGTTTTGCTTTCTTCTGTAGTCTCAATACCTAAATTGTTGTCTCTCCTGGTTAGTCTCACTCTATTTCAACTCTCTTCTTCAAACCTGGAACAAGCTCTAATAGATAGTCATCAGAATCTTTGAACAATTTTTCACCAAGAATTCTTCTTTGCGTCTTTTCTTACCCTTTATAAAATTCACTACTCATATTGTCACTTTCTGTGATGCCGCTCATCAGCCCAACTCCTGAGAGACTAATTATTTATAGTCCTTGCCTCTAAGCACCACATATTTACCTTTATTTTTTTAGTTATCACATCATGTTACAAAGTTAGTTGTCTTTTCCATCTCCACAAGTAGACCTCAGCAACTTGAACACAAGACGTTTCCCTTTAGTTTGCCTGTATCCCAGAGACCTATTGCGTGGTACTTATTCAATGGTTCGACCAAGAACAATAATTTGTAAGAGAATTACATATATTTTTAAGAAGAAAATTATTTATTAAGATAACACTAATGCAAAAAACTAGAAACCTTATCAGAGAAAAAAATATATGACATAAACTAAACAGCATCCGAAATCATGATGTGGCAAGCCCTGAACAGCAGTGGGAGATAAGAACAATTGGAGGGCTTTGTCGTCATGGCATGAAGGACGAACGCTGGGTTATATCTGTATTTTGTGGGCACCCTATGATGCTCCTTTATAAGATGCTGTTTCATACTGAGCTTTTGCTACAGATTTGAGTTTTTTATAGTTTTACTTAGATATACTCTTTGAATGAATTAACAATTCTCATGACTTTTGATGGAAGATTTCTAATTCAATTACTAAATGAATAAATAACCATATGCTTTATAACAACCCAATTTTAAATATGCTACATAATGAACATATAGGGTTTTAAAAAAATCTAGTAGTCTATTATATTTTCTATTTTATTACAAATAAATCTTATTTTTTAATAGTTTTTTTCCCTCACTTTTCTGGGAAATTAGTATTAAAAGATTCGATAGCACTCAGATTTATATCTGGGGATCTCACATGAGGAAAGTTTTTCATTTCTAGGTCTACTGTTATGCTCCTTGAGATGTATATTCTTCTTAATGGTATCATTAAATGTAATAATTGTATTGAATTTTTCTATTTTTTCCTTCTATTATGATAGAACAGAGTGAAAGGTTAATCTCATGTGACAGTCTTAATAAATTCAACTTATAATGCATAAACAATTACATAGAAATTATAATATATAGGTAAATTTTATAAAGTTAAGCAATGTGACAATACAATTGTTATTTAAATAAAATCTATTATCCAATATAAGTCGAACTGATATGTCCTTTGGATAAGAAAACTACAATAAATCTTTCAATATAGATATCTATAGACCTCCCAAAACTTCTTTATAATAAGAAATTAAAATAATTTACATTGCAAAACGTAAAAGGAAAAGAGATCAAATAGCTTGTGCTAATCTACTGACACTACCTGTTACCTACTAAAATGTGTCCTTGCAAAATTCATATACTGCAGCCCTAACACCCAGTACTACAGAAAGTGACTATATTTGGAGATAGAACATGTAAAGAAGTAATTAAGTTAAAAGTAGGTCATCAGGGTGGGCCTTAATCCAACCTGAGTAGTGTCCTTATAAGAAGAGGCGATTAGGTCATACAGAGAGGCATCAGTGACAGCCATACACAGAGTACGGGCCACATGGGGACAGGCAGCAAGGTGACCATCTGCCAAGGAGAGAGGCCTGGAGAAACCAAACCTTTCGGCAAGCTGATCTTAGACTTCCAGTCTGCAGAACTGTGAAAAAATAAATTTCCTTTGTTTAAGCCACCCTATCCCCAGTACTTTGTTATGGCAATTCTAGCAAATTAATATACTGCTCCCTCGGCACTACCAAGAGTGTGATGACAACAATGTTAAAATAGGGAAAAAAATACTTACATTTCTCACCCTTTTGAAAAATGAAAGAAAAAAATAACTGCTGATGCTATAAATATTTCTCAGAAGCAGTTTTATAAATGATGCATAAACTTAGATCTATCCTTATTAATGTTCATGTTGTCTCTTTTTTTTATCTTGATGCGAATCTTTTCTGTTCTGTGTCTCAAAGAAACATTAATCTGGGTGTATTACTCTAAAATTAGAAAAGGATAAAAAAGGTAATCTTATTTAATATATTCCTAAAATGTTTACTTTAGCAATAAAACATAACAATGTGGGAAGAAAAGGTTTTCATCTTAAAACCTATGCCAGAATATTGAAACACAAATAGACACTATGAGGTGCACAAGTTTTAAAACCTGTTTTGTTAAATATTCTAAAGACAACTTGACATTTGGTCTTTACAATTAAAATGATAAACACTAGGTTAAGAAACTCTGAAGAACTTTTTGTCTTATATATAAGTATGAAATTTAACAGCTGAAAAAATTCTTTATCTTGGCAACCTGTATTATGACTGGAATTACTTAATTAATGCAAATTTTAAAAAATACATGATTCCAGATATTGCTACTGAATGAGTTTTCCTAGACTGATGATTGAACTCTTAAAATATTATTATTCATATAAACAAAATGAACATGCCATTATTTATTAATACACTGTAAGCCTAAATCCTTTTGTTAAACTCTTTTTTCCTTTACAAATGAAAAAAATTATAAATTTTTCTTATTAAATTCTTGATATATAAGAATAGTATTTTATAATCATTATTATATAGGAAGATACCTATTCTATACAAAATGTAATTCCACTAGTCACAGATCATTTTTAAGTTACTTAGGTTACTAAGGTAGCAGATATTATATCTTGAAGCCATTGAACAATATACCAGCTGACAAGCTAACAGAAAATTGAAAGACAATTTTCAATACTATGCTCCAACTAAATGCCAATTTAGAAACTAAATATAACTCCTGGAGTCTGTTTGCACTTTAAAAATTGCATTCCAAAGTTTAATAGTAGAATGAAATTTTCTGTAAGTTCCACATCCTCAAGTCTTGATGCCTAGGTAAAGTTTGTTCCAAAAGAACGGGCACTGTTACTTAAGATGCAAAAAGCATTTCTAAATCTATACATAGATATTACACATTTCAAGAAGAAAATTTTTTGGAACAGTGAACTTCCCAGTCATAAGGGTAACTAGGAACAGATTAAATAACAAA